GGAGCTTGTGCTGGCACTGGTCCAACATATTAAGAACTTAGGAGGATTCTTGGTGGCTTAGGGGATCCTGGTGAATCTGACCAACACCCACTACCTACACTAAAGCTAAGTTGAGTACCAGTCAGTCACTCCCACTACTAGTAAGACTCTGGTGAGTCTTACCCTGCTCCTTATTGTAGCAGAAACTTTAACGGTACACACTTCACCACTCTCCCACAACTGCTAAATCAGGGAGATTATGGAGAGCTTAAAATGCCAAAATGCAGGAGCAAAAAGCAATCTCAATCTTCCAGCCCACCTAGAACAAATCAAAGAGACAAAGACATACAAGAACTTGAAAATCACACACATTAAATTTCTGAAATGATAGCAACTGATGTAAAGAAACAAGTCCATCAGGCCATAGAAGAAATAAGGTCAGAAATAATCTCTCAGGTCTAAAAAGAAATCACGACAATCATGAAGGAACTGCTCAGCACAGCTAAAGGAGACATAGATTTAAAAAATAGGGTTAGAAGTGCTGGTCATTTATTTGCCATTCCAGTATTTATCTTATGTTTTACTCTTAGTACTTCTTTGCTATCATGAAAACTTTTTCTTAGTTCAATTGTTTTGAATCATTTAATTTTCTGAATATTACTTAATCTTAATTTTTGTTCTAGGATTTATACTGTATCTTTGACTTACAATTTATTTAAAAAGACATTGTATGATATCTTCTCCTAGTATTAGAAACTTTAAAAGGTATATTTCCATTTTCTGTTGACTTAAAAAAAAAGAGGTTTGTACCTATGTTATTTGCTTATTATTTCTTGCCTATATCTTGTAATATGAGAAACTACTTTGGCAATAACAACACACAATGGACTAACCATTGTTACTCTCCTAAAATCTTGTTTTGAGATTTTCTACCACTGTTTTTATTATTTTTTCTTTCTTTAAAATAAAAATAACTGATGTCAATAAAAATAAAAAAATAAATAAAAATAAAAAAATAAAAAATAGGGGAGAATAGATAAATGATGGAAGGACCGAATGAACAATAGAGGAAAGAATTACAATACATGAAACAGATTCAAACAGATAGTGAGGAAATTAAGAACTCCATTGAAAGCTGGCAGAACCACTGGAATGAAACAGAAGATAGATTTTCAGATCTTGAAGACAGTTCATTAGCTGCAGCTAATGAATGTGAAAGGAAAGATCTCTTAAAACTAACAAGGAACCAGGGAATAACAATTCAGCAGCTACAAGATGACACAAAGAAAAATAATATAAGACTAATAGGTGTCAATGAAGCACCAAGAGACAGCACAAATGACACAAAAAGACTATTTGCACAATTACTAGCAGAAAATTTTCCAAACATGAGAAAAGAATGTGACATACAGTTAAGTGAGGCATATAGAACTCTGAAGAGCTATAATCAGACTAAATCTACAGGTAGACACATAATAATCAAGGACTCAGAAATTCAGCAGAAGAATAGAATATTAAAAGCTGCTAGAAGGAAGAAATAGATAAACTACAACATAAAACCCATCAGAATCATGGCAGATTTCTCAACACAAACCATCAAATCAAGTAGAGCTTGGAGTGAAGTATTTCAGGTCCTAAAATAAAATAACTTCCAACCCAGACTGATGTATCCTGAAAAACTATCTATGAAATTCAATGGCAAGATGAGATCCTTCCATGACAAAGAACAACTGAAGAAATTGATGACAACCAAACCAACCCTACAAAGAGTACTGAAGATATTCTAGAAAGAGACAGAAGTGACAATAGCTTCAAGAATGAAAGAAAGGAACCAACAAACAGAGCACATAGTTAAAAAGAGGGAAAAAGAACAGAACCTATAGCAGGAAAATAACATGACAAAGATAAGCCAATACATACCAGTTATAACCATCAATGTAAATGGCCTCAATTCACCAATCAAAAGAAACTCACTAGCAGAGTGTATTAAGAAGCAAAATCCAACAATATGCTGAATACAAGAAACACATTTAACTAACAAGGAAATTCACAGACTAAATATTAAAGGATGGAAAACAATTCTCCATGCCATAGGAAATCAGAAAAGAGCAGGGGTAGCTATCCTGGTTGCTGACAATATCAACTTCAAACCAAAAATCATTCAAAGAGGTAAAGAAGGTCACTACATACTTGTTAAGGGAAAACTGCAAGAGGAAGAGATAACAGTTATAAATATATATGATCCCAATGTAGGAGTACCCACCTACATATGACAAATTTTAACAGGCATTAAAAATCAAATTAGCAATAATACAATTGTAATGGAAGACTCTAACATGCCACTGTCACAAACAGATGGATCAACAAGGAAGAAAATCAGCAAAAAAATAACAGAACTAAACAAAACTTGTGAAGAAATTGATTTGGTAGATCATTACAGAGTGTTTCACCTAGCACCCACAGAATACACATTCTTCTCAGCTACACATGGGATGTTCTCCAAAGTAGATCATATACTAGGACACAGAACATTCTTAACTAAATGCAAAGGAATTGAAATTATCCCATGCATACATATAACCACAGTGCAAGAAAGCTCAAAATTATTGACAAAAGAAACTACAAAACGCCATAAACACATGGAAATTAAATAATAACCTCCTAAACAACCATTGGGTCACAGATGAAATTAAAGAAAACATAAAAATATTTTCAATCAAACAAAAATGCAGATATAATTTAACAAAAACTGTGAGAAATTTATGGCAGTAAACTCGCACATTAGGAAAACAGAACAAGCTCAAATAAATGATCTTTGAACTACACCTCTATCTCCTAGAAAAAGGAAAGCAAGTCAAGCAAGTCAAAGAAGGGAGGAAATCATAAAGATTAAAGCAGAAAGCAGTGCAATGGAGATGAAGAAAACAGTACAAAGAATAAATGAATCAAAGAGTTGGTTGTTTGAAAGAATAAATAAAATTGATAAACCTCTAGCCAACCTAATCAAAAAAAGGAAAGAAAAGCCCCAAATTCAGGGAATAAGGAACGAAAAGGACAAAATCACTACAGACCTTTGAAGAATTCATAAGATCATCAATACCTACTTCCAAAAATCTTTACTCTAACAGAATAGAAAGCACAGAAGAAATGGACAGTTTCCTAGATACATATGAATTGCAAAGCTGAGTTAAGAAGATATACAAATGCTAACTAATCCAAAAATTTGAAACAAAATTGAAAATGTAATTTAAAAAGACAAGAAAAGTCCAGGTCCTGATAGATACCCAGCAGAATTCTACAAGAAATTTACAGAAGATTGAATATGAACTTTTCTCAAACTCTTCACTGAAATTGAAAAGGAAGCAATTCTCCCAAACTCATTTCTAGAGGCAAGTATTACTCTGATTGCAAAACCAGAGAAAGATCAAACTGAAAAAGAAAATTACAGGTCAATCTCTCTAATGAATATAAATGCAAAAATACTCAGTAAAATATTAGCAAACAGAATTCAGCATGTCATCAAGAAGATCATCCACCATGACCAAGTGAGATTTATCCCAGGAATGCAAGGATGGTTCAACATATGCAAATCCATAAATGTAATACACCACATCAATAGAGCCAAGAACAAAAAAACATGTGATCATCTCCATAGATGCCAAAAAAAAAAAAAAAAAACTTATGACAAAGTCCAACACTCATTCATGATAATAACCATACAGAGAATTGGAATAGATGGTCTATATCTCAACCTGATAAAAGTCATCTATGAGATACCAACAGCCAACATCATACTAAACAGGCAAAACTGAAAGCCTTCACTTTAAAATCAGGAACAACACAAGGATGTCTCCTATTCAATATAGTTCTGGAATCTTTAGTCAGAGCAATTAGACAAGAGAGACAAAAGGAATCAGGACTAGAAAAGAAGTGAAACTGTAATTATTTACAGACAACATTATACTCTACGTAGAGGACCCCATAAACTTCACCAAGAGTCTTGTAGATTTAATCACCAAATTCAGCAATGTAGCAAGATACAAAGTTAACACCCAAAACTCATTGACATTTTTTACACAAATAATGAATGCATTGAGAAACAAATTAAGGAAACCACAGCTTTCACACTAACATCCAAAAAAAAAAAAAAACCACCAAAATACTTATGAATTAATCTCACATAGGAAGTAAAAGATCTATACAGTGAAAATTACGGTACTTTGAGAAAAGAGATGGAAGAGGATTTGAGATAATGGAAAGATATCCCATGCTTCTGGACAGGAAGAACCAACATCATGAAAATGGCCACACTCTCAAAATGGTTATACAGAATCAATACAATCCCAATTAAAATACCATTAGTATGCCCCACAGAGCTAGGGAAAACTTTCCTGAAATTTGTTTGGAACCAGAAGAGACCCACAATATCAAAAGCAATCCTGGGAAACAAAAGGAAGGCAGAAGGTATCACAATCCCTGACCTGAAATTATATTATAAAGCTAATGTAATAAAATCAGCATGATACTGGCATAAAGACAGATCTGAGGATCTGGAACAGATTACAAGACCCAGACACGGGGGCCGGAGAGATGGCTCAGTGGAATAAGCGCTTCCCTGGCAAGTGCAAGCGCCTGAGTTCAATTCCCAGTTCCGAAAAAAAAAA